GAAAAAATGAAAAGAAAAAAATTTGTTTTCCTTTAATTGATTTTAAACATGCAAAATGTATTGTTCTGGTGGTCGAGATATTGATAAAAAAACCTTCTGTTTTGCAGCACTGTAATTCTAAWACAGCAGCCATAACTCCCTCACATCACCCATCACTCACACCTCCGTGCACACACGAATAGAAAAACAAACACAAAAACACAAGTGTGCAGTCTATTGACTAGTATTTGTCACTTGCAATATATTTAGCTGGGAGCAAGTGAGAGGCTTCAAGTTGGCGGAGCTCAGGCTTTTCTAGCTGCAAGTGTTAGACCAGCCAGTGTTCACTCGACTTTGTCAATCCCCTGTCAACTTGTAGCTCTGAGACATGTCCTCTCTAATACAGAAGAGACAGGCCTACTGCCGCCCACCCCCTTCCCTCCCCCCTGCTGCCCACCTCTCAGTGCAGAGCCACCAGGAAATGGCTGCTACTGCTTCATCTCCTGCATCCACCCCCCAACTATCCCCTGACAAAAGCCTGCTTGGCGTCTCCATCATTTGTGTGACAGAAGAGAGAAGACAGCTTGGCTGCATCTCTCTTCCTTTGCACCCACAACATGTGGTTGGTATAAAAATTACATCCACGAAGGAGAGATCATGTTGAATGCATGTCGTGCTTCTTTATTGTATGTTTTTTTAGGATGACATTTCTGAACCTTATAAAATGGTTTAGAAAAAGTGACAAAAACCCCTTCAGTAACACATTTTGTCCAATTTTTCTAAATTACATTAAAGTTTATATCTACAGCTCTTTMAACAAGGAGCAGGAGAAAGTTTAAAAAATTACTAGAAATACAAGGAACAAAAGTAATCAAATAGTATAATAAAAGTCCTTTTTGCACTTTGTTGAATGTAGACTTGATTAAATTGGGTCATGCTAGATAAATTGCTAAAATCCACAAGAACCTCTGACAACAGAGTAAAATATTAAAATGTGTATGTATTAACGGTGTATATTTGCATTATTAAATATGTACTAAATATGTTGCGAATATATTTTTTACAGGTTTTAACCTTTTAACTACAATTGTTTTTCCAACTTGGTAAGTAAAAATGTCTTTAGCATAGAAATTAATGATATTATATTTATAGACAGAATATTTAAACCGGTGTTGGTTCTAAATAAATAAATGATTCTTGGGGAAAATCTTTTACACACACACACACACACACACACACACACACACA